TGGTATTATAATCAAAATTATATGTAGTATATTAGGTTTGGTCCCATTCGTCCTGTTCTGTTTGCTGAGACTACCTAGAAAAGCCTTGTAAAGTATACCTAAAATTATTAAGGGCATAGAGGGACTTAAATTCAAGGAAAGGCTAAAATAATTAAATAATTCTAGAAAGAAAAACTGAGGGAACTCCTACCTAAAATTCATGAAATTATAAAGGATGTTTATTGAGGACATCAATTTTTAAATTTAATTGTAATAATAATGGCATACCTTAAAGATTGGCAAAGGGTAATATAAGAGAATAAATAGAAATGCCACTTTAAAAATAAATCTTTAGAACTTTTTTCCCCAATAAATGGGTCAGGCAGAAAACCTGAAACTTTAGTTAAATTTTTGGATTGTAGACTATGAATGGCTTAAAAATTTTTATTATTACTTGTAGATATATCTAAGAGACTCTGGAATTCATTATAGTCTTTTCTAAAACATTTCTTTTTTTTTTTGTCTTGGTATAGGTTTATTTTTATTTCAAAATATTAATTAAGGGGGTACAAGTTTTTTTTTTCTTACGTGGATACCTTGAATAATGCTTAAGTAAGGGATTTTGGTGTACCTGTCACCAGAATAGTGTTTATTGTACCCAATAGGTAAGTTTTTATCTTACACACCCCCTGCCACTCCCCCCCTTTCTTGGCTTTTCATGTCCTTTATATTGCTTTGTGCCTTGTGCACCCGTTGTTTAGCTCCCATTTATTAGTAAGAACATATGGTGTTTGTTTTTCCATTCCTGAGATACTTCACTTAGGATAATGGTCTCCAATTCCATCCAGGTTGCTGCAAAAGACATTATTTCATTCCCTTTTGTGGCTGAGTAGTACTCCATGGTATATAGATACCACATTGTTTTTATACACTCACGAGCTGAAGAGCACTTGAGTTGATTCCATATCTTTGCGATTGTGAATTGTGCTGCAGTAAACATTCAAGTGGGGGTGTTTTATTGATAAAATAACTTCATTTCTTTTGGGTAGATACACTGCTGGGTATCTAGAAGATTTCTTCATACAACATATGGAAGTAAATGCTGGGCTAGATGTTTACTGCTGTAACTCAGTATGACATTTACATCATTAAGATAATTTGTACTGATGATTGTTTATGTCTTATCTCCTTTTCTTTTAGGTATGTAAAAGAAGGAGATACAGTGTCTCAGTTTGATAGCATCTGTGAAGTACAAAGTGATAAAGCTTCTGTTACCATCACTAGTCGTTATGATGGAGTCATTAAAAAGCTCTATTATAATCTAGATGATACTGCCTATGTGGGGAAGCCATTAGTAGACATAGAAACGGCAGCTTTAAAAGGTACTATAAATCTGTTAATCTATTTTACCAAATTGACTGCTGTTGTCCTTTTGTCAGTGGGTCCCAATTAAAAGTGGTCTTGACTCTTAATAATTTACAGAATTTGAATTGGGAGTTTAGAAGCCAAGGTCAGGAAAAATGAAAAGGTTCTCTGTGATACATGATTATCTTTTGGCCAGTTACCATGTTAAAAACATGTATAGTAACAATTTATCTGAAGGCCTGTGATCTGGAAACCTTAGTGTTGGAAGAAGCAACAGGCTGTCTCATTAATTGAAGATTTAGGCTTTAAATACTGGCCACCAAGAACAAAAATTGAGTATGCAAAGATTAATATAACGGATTGCTCTGTTTGCCACTAATATATATTAAAAAAAGACTCTTTGGTGATGGTTATAAAAGCCAAACTTCTTCAAGAAAATTTGAATAGAAAAGAAGGAAAATGAAAATGAAAGTGAAGACACCAGCATTCAGAAGCAGCAGCAACTGTGGGACTTATATGCATTAGATGTCCTGTCAAAAGGGAAGTCATTATGAGAATGTTACAGAGGAAAAGTAAATCAGTGGGCAGTCCCAGTAGTGGCAGAGAGCTAGTTGTCTACCTCAGAGGTTCCTTACAGCATTATTGTGATACACCAAAGTTATGTCTTCTAGGAAACAGGGAGGGCTGAAAGAGCAATAGGTTCTGTGACGTGACTCCTAGGCCAGCATTCCTTCTTGGAAGTGCTGAGGTAAAGACATCTTAGTTGTGTAATTAGAAGTCTGAAAGGAGTATTTGAATTACAGTGGGTGGCTGATACTTAGTTCTGCAGTCTATACAATAATAATAACTACTATTACAATCACTTTTTTTCAGAATCACATTTTATAATTTATAACATTTTTTACACTTGTTCTTTAAGGTATTTCAATTTAACAGATGAAGAAATTAAACCCAACAAGAAAGATTGGACAAGGCCGGGTGCGGTGGCTCACACCTGTAATCCTAGCACTCTGGGAGGCCGAGGCGGGAGGATTGCTTGAGCTCAGGAGTTC